AGGCGGAGGTTGCAGTGAGCCGAGATCATGCCACTGCACTCCAGCCTAGGTGACAGAGGGAGACTCCATCTCAAAAAAAAAAAAAAAAATTTTTTCTTTTGCCATGTGTAATCTTATGGAGGCTGAAGAAACATCTAGGGGCTGTCTGGATATCTCCAAAGCCCATCTGAGTGTAGATAAAATATTTAGTCTATTTCCAATTATTCTTTTTCCTTTTCAACCTCAAGTCATTACTTCTGGGAGTCCCCAGGTCCCCTGAGAGATCCCCAGGAGGGTGGGGGGCCTACAGTCCCAGTGACTAAGAGTCCAGAGTGGGAAGGAAAAAGTCTAGCAGTGGGTGGACAGATGGATTTGAAGGGAGTCTTATCAAAGGGCTTAAGGGAACCGGAGGGAACATTAAAGGTGGTAAGAGGAGGAATAAGGAGCAGTAGCAATGGGAAGAAAGAGAGCTTACAGGATGCGGTCTGGAGAGATCCTAAGTATCCCAAAGAGGCCAATAAAGGTTCAACAAGGAGGAGGTGGACAAAACAAGTGGTGGAGCAATAGAGTTAGCAGGGGCTCAAAAAGAAGGGATTCAGATGCCAGAGAAATTGCCATGGGAGAAGTAGGATCCATTACAGAGAACAGAGTAGCCTCACAGAGTTCCAAGAACTTTTAGTCCAGGGAGTCAGGGAATAAACCCCACTCAGGAAAGAGAGACAGAAGACCTTCAAGCCCAGGAGGTACCTTTCAAAAGAAGCCTGGCCTCTAGCCCAACTCCAGAGAATATATTCACAATCTTGAGAATCGAAATCTTTCCTTACCAGCTTCAACGGATGTTTGTCCGGAGCAATGGTTCATAGTCTGACTCACCATTGGATCCCCGATCTATCAGTCAGGAGTGAAGACAATGGCTTCAAAGGTGCACACTTGGGGTCCTGGGTGAGAGGTCTGGGGGTCCAATGATGAATCTGATCCTATCGGAGTCACAGCACCATAACTGTTAAATGAAAAATTACTCAGTGATACTTGTTAAAGCATGGTAAGGCAGATGTTATTCAGGATCATCTCAATAGATATAGGAACCATGGCAATGTGATGTTGCAGTTGGGGAGAGAGACTGGGCTCAACTCAGTGAGGGAGAGACAGTAGGGAAACAGCAAGGGCAAGTATAGTCAAGGAGCAAGGTGGGTTTGCTTTCATCCCATTCAGTGGATGTGAAATTACTAAAAAATAACATCCAGAGAAAGGGAGACTCTGGCTAAACCCTAACAGGATTCTTGCTGAAGACAAGCCAGGGTGATCAGACATCACCTGGGAATGGTCTACATTGTGGAAGAGTTCTTGCTAAACTGGTTTTACAGGGTTCGTGCTAAAATTGGATTTTACACAGCTAGGCCTAGGAGAAGGTTTAAGGGCTTGCTTGCCTAAAGGTTGGTTAACCAAAGAATCTTTGTCACGACTCCCAAATTATTAAATGACTCTCTGAAGATTGCAACTGCAATATTTGCTTTCACCTACTGTTTAAATTTTATGTTAAATTGAGTTCTCCTAACAGTTAAAACTTTCTTGCTGGCCCTCAGGTTATCACTGACCAAAAAAAAAAAAAAAAAAAAGGCGGGGGGGTATACTAATTTGTAGTAAGTCACAACTTATAATTAAACTAAGCCTATGAGAAATAACTCAAATCTCAACAGATCAAAATATCTACTTTAAGAATCTGGCAGAAAATAACTAATGATGATTTTCATAACATTTTATTTTTAGCTCTTATTGTTAACATTACTCCACTTCTACTCCTGCCAAGCTCTGCTGAGCATTTTCTCAAAACCTCGTTTCCTCAGTACGTTAAAAAAAGCAAAAATCTATACTTCCTCATGGTCTTATATGATCTGCCTCCTGTCTCTTTAAAAAGTGAAAAATATGGCCGGCGCGCGGTGGCTCAAGCCTGTAATCCCAGCACTTTGGGAGGCCGAGACGGGCGGATCACAAGCAGGAGATCGAGACCATCCTGGTAACACGGTGAAACCCCGTCTCTATTAAGAAATACAAAAAACTAGCCGGCGAGGTGCGGATGCCTGTAGTCCAGCTACCGGGAGGCTGAGCCGGAGAATGGCGTGAACCCGGGAGGCGGACTTGCAGTGAGCTGAGATCCGGCCACTGCACTCCAGCCTGGGCTACCAGACGCGAGACTCCGTCTCAAAAAAAAAAAAAAAAAAAAAAAAAAAAAGAAAAAATGACCATAATTTATTGTTGGACCTAATAAAACGCTAAATTCAAATATGCTTTTCACAAGAACAACACAAAAGGTAAGTTAGAACAAGCAATTTGGGAAAAAGAAAATATCATTGTTGACAGGCTACATGCTTTGCTCACGCCTGTAATCCCAGCACTTTGGGCTGAGGCAGGCAGATCACGAGGTCAGGAAATCGAGACCACCCTGGTTAACACAGTGAAACCCACCGTCTCTACTAAAAAAAAAAAAAAATCACAGGCATGGGCATACACCTGTAGTCCCAGCTACTCAGGAGGCTGAGGCAGGAGAATCACTTGAACCTGGGAGGCGGAGTTGCAGTGAGCTGCAATGGCACAGCTGGACTCCTGCCTGGGCAAGAGTGAGATCCACCTCAAAAAAAAAAATTAAGTTAAAAAAAAAAAATAACTGCAACAAAGAAGAGAAGACAATGAGAAATAAAGATGAATAATCAAAAAAAATTGTACATATTTAATTATTCTACTCTGCTTAATTTTTTTTTTTTTTTTTTTTTTTGAGACGAGTCCCGGCTCTGTCGCTAGCCTGAGAGGCAGTGGCCGGATCTCAGCTCACTGGCAAGCCTCCGCCGCCCACGGCGTTTACGCCATTCTCCTGCCATCACCTCCCGAGTAAGCTGGGCCTACAGGTGCCCGCCGCAGCCTCGCCGCATGTTTTTTATTTTTTAGTACGAGACGGGGTTTCACCGGTTCCCAGGGGTTCTGATCTCTAACCTCGTGATCCGCCCGTCTCGGCCTCCCAAAGTGCTGGGATTCAACAGGCTTGAGCCCACCGCGCCCGCCTAACCTGCTTACTTCAATAAACTCATTTTATTCCTAAATTCCTGTGCCGGACGAACCATTCACCGAGTGTCCACATGGTTTGCCATTTCATTAAGTCGTGTTCAACAATGCTGTATCTTCAAAAGAGTTTCTTCCCCTCAACTACTTACTAAAATAGCAAATCCCCATCACCTCATTGACTAGTTACTTTCTTCTTCAGTTGTTACCTGATGAATATTACATATATCTACCTGGCCATATTATTTATCTCCTCACTAGAGTTCTTAGATCGTCCTGTAGCAACAGAAGAACTCTTGTCTGTTCACGACTAGGTTTTCATCCACTCCAGAACGTATCCCTACATAGCAGATAATGAATAAATATTTGAGTAAACAAGTTATCTCACTTTATCTTCACATAATCCTGAGGGAGGTGCTATCCCCATTCTGGGAACAGAAACTGAGTCTTAGGCTAACAGTTGGCCCACTGTCACACAGTTGTAAGGAATGGAGTAAGGATTTGAACCTAGGCAGTTTGAAAACTCACACATTTCCAGTGCATCTCAAATTATCCATGGTAAGGACCAGTCTTTTAAACTGCCCATCTACTGCAGACCAATACTTTTATAAACTACAACAAAAGTGTCACAGTAATGTCAAATTGTTCTAAAAGTTTCTAAATGCTTATTCTGCATTTCTTTTTTTATTTTTTTTTTTTTTTTGAGATGGAGTCTCGCTCTGTCGCCGGGGCTGGAGTGCAGTGGCCTGATCTCAGCTCACTGCAAGCTCCGCCTCCCGGGTTCACGCCATTCTCCTGCCTCAGCCTCCCGAGTAGCTGGGACTACAGGCGGCCGCTACCTCGCCCGGCTAGTTTTTGTTTTTTTGTATTTTTTAGTAGAGACGGGGTTTCACCGTGTTAGCCAGGATGGTCTCGATCTCCTGACCTCGTGATCCGCCCGTCTTGGCCTCCCAAAGTGCTGGGATTACAGGCTTGAGCCACCACGCCCGGCTGCATTTCTATCCTTATATTGTCATCAACCAGTTCTGCTCCACAGAGTATCCTTTGAGTAGCTTCCCAGGCAAGGCAAAATAATTTCTATTGTCTAGTGGTTCTTACCCGACTGCATATTTGAATCAATAGAGTTTAAAAACAATACCAGGCCAGGACTGGTGGCTCACGCCTGTAATCCCAGCACTTTGGGAGGCTGAAGCGGACAGATCACCTGAGGTTAGGAGTTCGAGACCAGCTGGCCAACATGACGAAACCCTGTCTCTATTAAAAATACAAAAATTAGTCGGGTGTGGTGGCAGGCACCTGTAATCCCAGCTACTCAGGATGCTGAGGCATGAGAATTGCTTGAACCCAGGAGGCAGAGGTTGCAGTGGGCCGAGATCACACCACTGCACTCCAGCCTAGGGGATAGAGCAAGACTCTGTCTCCAAAAAAATATAAAATATATAAATATAAATAATACCAATGCCCAACTAACTTCCAATCCCCTAGGGAAATCTCGAAACCAGTAAGAGCAATTTTTAAAACTCATGAATGAAAAAGGGTACATATACACACTTGCCTATTTTGACATTTTAGTAGTTTGAACAGGTTAGAGACTCTTCTCTGACAATTATCCTAAGTGTTAAATCACCTCGGAAACTATAAAACAAAATTACCTGATACCTTTATTGTAACCCACACAAAGTGTTAAGAACTGGTAACACATATTTCTGATAATCCAAAAAGGAACAGTAGGTTATACATAAAGCATAAGGAGCAGTGCTAAGGTCTCCTAATTATAAGCATTGGTAGAACAGGCAAAACAGAAGGTCTTGATGCCACACACTGTGGGCTTTTCAGTGTTGGGTATTTTAAAATTACCTCTAGCCACTAAAATAACTGAGTATTAATACTTTCTTCCTGCCTGAACTGTGTGCTTTTGGAAATAACTTGGGTCACTCCCATCACACTTTAAGCACAACAAGCAGGAACAATGATCCAACTGGTGATCTTAAAAAGACAAGTTACTTACAGTTCTTTCAAATGAGTCTGAGAAAAAGCATTTTCTTGGATAGACATTATGGCATTATTGTTCAAATCTCTGAAATAAAGAGAAATGAAACATTATCAGTCACCATTTCTATATCAAGTTACATAAACACTTTACATGGTCATGAAAACCTCTGCTAATAGCAAAGATTATTTATAGAGTAAGCAAAATGTATGACAAATACTTACAGATGCTCAAGGGATTCAAGACCAATGAATGCTTTCTTTGTAATTGACTTAATCTGGTTTCCTTGTAAGACTCTGAAATATAAACAGACCTTTGTAAGAAAGCTCTCCACTAAACAAAATTAAATTCATTAAACATCTACCTATTTTTGCTTAGCGTACTTTTTTGTATATTTAACAGCTTTACTGAGGTACAACTGTATAAGAAATACACATATTTAACGTGTACAATTTGATGAGAACCATGCATTTTTAAGAAAGTTATTAAATTTAATTATTAATCAATGTAAAACATAGCATAAAGGCGTCTATCAAAGCTCAATGAGGTGAACAACCATCTTGACCACTGATAAACTGGTAATTTTCAGATGCTAAATTCAATTATATTCCTCATGTCTCCATTCATAGCAAAAGATTGTCAGAGAAATTCAGACAAGTGTGACCCTTTGGAGAAATTATTCTCATGGGAGAAGATCTAAACTCTTATGTGAGAGAATGCTCTACTTCTGCTAGATAAATTACTCATAAATCTCATACAATTAAACAAACTACAAATCAAACAGATTATCAAGACATTACTTTCTCAATGCATTCCTTTTACTTGAATAGAAATTCTACTTCTATAAATAATTTCTCTTTAAGTGTCCATAGGAATGCTTTTTCAATAAAAAGTGCCCCAACAACAACAACAACAAAAAAAACACAGAAACAGAAAAACTAGCTGGGCATGGTGGCTCATGCCTATAATCCCAGGACTTTGGGAGGCCAAGGTGGGAGGATCACTTGAGCCCAGGAGTTCAAGACCAGCCTGGGCAATATAGTGAGAACTCTGTCTCTACAAAAAAAAAAAAAAAAAAAAGTTAATTAGCTGGGCATGGTGGCACACACCTTTAGTCCTAGCTCCTTAGGATGCCAAGGTGGGAGATCACTTGAGCCCAGGAGGTTGAGGCTGCTGTGAGCTGTGACTGAGGCTCAATCCTGCTTCTTAGAAATATTGGGCGGCACGGGTGGCTCAAGCCTGTAATCCCAGCACTTTGGAGGCCCCGAGACGGCGGATCATGGGTCAGCGAGATCGGACCTATCTCGTGCTAACACGGTGAAACCCGTCTCTACTAAAAAATACAAAAAAACTAGCTGGGCGCGGTGGCGGGCACATGTAGCCCAACTACTCGGGGATGGCTGAGGCCAGGAGAATGGCGTGAAACCCGGGAGGCGGACTTGCAGTGAGCTGAGATCAGCCTGTGCACTCGCCTGGGGCGGCAGATGTGAACTCGTCTCAAA